ACTCTTCTGGCTCTGCAGTGTTTTTTTTTTTTAAAGAGCTGTGACCAAAACTCTACAAAATATGGTTATGCAATGGATTTATATAAAGGCATTACAGTTTTTTACATATTTATTTTCCGTTATTGTTTTTTTCAGATTAATCATGCCTAAAAATGAATGTTGCCTTCTCTGGCGCACATGGATTATCAGTTTGTGCTGTTTCGTTTTCTTCTTTCTCTTTTTTTTTATCTTCTTAAATTAAACTAAACTAACAAGCTACTTTGGCAAGGAATCATTTCTTTTCAACAGCTTCAGGTTTTCCCCTCTTTAGCATTTCAGGAGATCTATTTGCATATTTGGCAATAGCTCACACAACCAAGCTGGGCAAAAGCATGCAAAATGCTGAATAGTGGGCCGTAGAGTTTGAGACTATCAAACACAAATTCAAAGGCGCCAAACAGATTGGACTGCCTGGGGCTTTGCACCTGCAGACCCTGTGTGGGAAAACAATTCAACAGATGTTATTTATCTGGACAGAGCCAGGCTCGATAACAGAAATCTGGATTTGCTGGGCATTTTACAGACACATATTTAAACAAGCAAACTATCCCTGGTAACCATGCTGTATCTCAAAGTGAAATGCAGAGCAATATCAGATACCAGTGTATCAGGCAGTTGGACTAGATGACCTCAAAGCTCGCTTCCAACTCTACTATTATTACTATTGCTAATACTATTTACATTATAAATCACTGTGTGTTATCTTTGAAGTAAATAAACTATCTAGACTCGTTGGAGTGTAATATCTAGAAAGAAGCCAAAAATTATGACATTATCGTTTTCAGATAGCAATAGCAATATATACCTCTTAGACAGATAGATGGATAGAGATAGATATGACAGTTAATATAGATAGATGATTGATAGATAGATAGATAGATAGATAGATAGATAGATAGATGATTGATGATAGATAGATAGATAGATAGATGGATGGATGGATGGATAGATAGATAGATAGATAGATAGAAAGATAGATAGATAGATAGATAGATAGATAGATAGATAGATAGATAGATAGATAGATAGATAGATAGATAAGCTTTATTGTCATTTTTTACTGTAGGCACAATGGCATACATTAAAAATGAAATTTAATTGTTTCCTCTAAAAGTGTATACATACATAACACACATTTAAACATACTATATACAATGTATGTGTAGACTTCTACACCCTTATCTATACCACTTCATCGTGCTTTTACAGCCCTCTCTAAGTGGTTTACAAAGTCAGCCTCTGCAGTCTCTTGAACGCAGATAAGACCAAGAGTTGGACTATGGAATAGAATAGAGCTGGAAGGGACCTTAGAGGTCTTCTAGTCCAGCCCCCTGCTCAAACAGGAGAACTATACCATCTCAGACCAGTGACTGTCCAGTCTCCTGTTAAAAATCTCAAGTGATGGAGCACCCACGATTTCTGGAGGCAAGCTGTTCCACTGGTTTATTGTCCTCACTGTCTCCTTAGTTCTAGATTGCTTCTCTATTTGTTCAGTTTCCAAACATTGTTTCTTGTCCTGCCTTCTGGGGCTTTGGAGAATAATGTGACCCCCTCTTCTTTGTGGCAGCCCTTCAAATACTGGAACACTGCTATCATGTCTCCCCTGTTTCTTCTTTTCTTTATACAGAGTTTGCATTTCCACAAAATTGCTGGCAACCAACAAATGGAATTAAACCAGTTGAAACGTCTGCTCATTTTATGCGATGCTACAAAAATAAGTATGGTTATCTCAGCTCATTCCTAATTCATTTTACAACTCTATTGGCCACAGAACCGAAAAATTGCCATTAGATCTTTTAATGTTAATTTCTTAGGATTATCTTCTTTCTAGCAGTTTTTTTTCCTTTTGTTTTAATCTCATGAAGGGTTTATACCACTTTATAATGCCTTGGTAAGCCCACATTTGGAATATTGCATCCAGTTTTGGTCACCACGATGTAAAAAAGATGTTGAGAGTCTATAAAGAATACAGTGAAGTCCAGCAACAAGGGGGTCTGAAGGATAAAAAATATGACAGTTGGGCATGTCTAGTTCAATAAAGAGAATGACTAAGGGTGACATGATAGCAGTGTTCCAATATCTCAGGGGTTGCCCCAAAGAAGAAGCAGGAGAAGAAGCAATGGATGGAAACTAATCAAGGAGAGATCCAATCTAGAACCAAGGAGAAATTTCCTGACAGTGAGAACAATTAACCAGTGGAACAGCTTTTCACCAGAAGTTGTGAATGCCCCAACACTGGATGTTTTTAAGAAGAGATTGAACAATGATTTGTCTAAATGTCTATAGGGTTTCCTGCCTGAGCAGGAGGTTGGACTAGAAGACCTTCAAAGTCACTTCCAACTCTCTTATTCTGTCAATTGCGAACTCCAGTTTGAAACTGTGAAATTTCACCACATGAAATTTAGATTTCATTCTGCAATGAATGTTTATACATATGTTGTATATAGTATGTTTAGGTGTGTGTCATGTATGTGTTCACTTTGAGAGTGGGCAGCTAAATTTCATTTTTGATGTGTGCTGTTGTGCCCATAGTAAAAAAAATGACAATAAAGGTTATCATCTGTCTGTCTGTCTGTCTGTCTGTCTGTCTGTCTGTCTGTCTATCTATCTATCTATCTATCTATCTATCTATCTATCTATCTATCTATCTATCTATCTATCTATCTAATAGGATTTAAAAGTGCATTCCCAATTCTCTTGCCCCAGAGATATTCAACCACATCATGAAATCTTTGGAAGTTCTTTTTTTCAAAATATAATCCGAAATTAGTATTCACAGGAACGAATTTCCTAAGGAAAAAAAAAAACATTTTTCTCCATTAGTTTTATCCAACACCTACCAAAAGGAACAGATGAAATTGCTTAGGGGAAAAAAATACGTACTATTCTGTTGCTTGGTGAGGTATCGCAGTAGAAAAGACATTATGGTAAGGATAGAAGACAATCGTTAGAAAATCGTCACCTTTGCACTTAAGAAAATATCATCGCTATTGACTTGGAGGTGTCCCTTTTATTCTTCACAAAAGGAATGCTTCTATTAAAACTTACTGAATTTCTTTTAGTGTGACACACTTGAAGATGGCTTAGCAGCAGCCCTCTATGATAGGTCAAAAGAGGGTTGTATTATTAAAAGCACAGGGGGGGGGGCAATTTTTAAGATCACCGTAAGCTCTTTTAAAAAATTGCTATCATGAGACATCTTGGGAATAAAATAACTACATTTATCTCCAATGTTTCATAGATTTTTTTTTTTAGCACTGTAGAAGACACAAATGAGAAAGGATTTTTCCTAAGCCCATTCTCCTTAAGGACACTGCTTTGTGCTTTGGATGTAGACTCAATCCTATAGAAGGGAAGACATCCAAAGAGTTGTGTCTGTGTGTGTACAATAGGTGGATGTGTGTAAGAGAGTAAAATGAGGCAAATCTTGATCCCAAAAAGAATATAGGACTTGACTCCTATATGAAATGAATTGCGTTGACTGTTTTTGCAAGATGTTCAACTTCAAACAGAAAAGACATAAGTGTTTCTTCATTTCATAGAAAAGAGACCCTATACCAGGGGTAGGCAACCTTGGCTTTTTTATGATTCATGGATTTCAACTCCCAGAATTCCCGAGCCAGCCACGCTGAGGGGAAAGGGAGAGGTTCCAAGCTGAGCCATGCTGGCTCAGGAATTCTGGGAGTTGAAGTCCACGAGTCATAAAGGAGCCAAGGTTGCCTACCCCTGACCTATACCATTCCAGACAAGTGGCTGTCCAGTCTCTCCTTAAAAGCTTCCAGTGATGAAGCACCCACAGCTCCTGGAAACAAGCATAATCAACTCAATTCCAGAAAGGGAGAGATTTGCTTTTCAGCAGGAGAATATTGCCCTCCTGTTGTATCTCTAATTAGCAGCCCTAATTTGTACTGAGCTAATAAAAAGCACCAGTGGCATGGAGGGCTTTTGAAACTGAACACACACCGTGTTGCTTCCACTCTGGTTCTTATTATTTAAAATGGCTAATACTTTCAGTAAATACTACAGCATAGAGCCTAGCACAATTGATAAAATTTAATATCGGTTGCATTATCATTAGGCAGAGAGGAAAGGGACTTTATTCTAGAATAGAATAGAATAGAATAGAATAGAATAGAATAGAATAGAATAGAGTAGAGTAGAGTAGAGTAGAGTAGAGTAGAGTAGAGTAGAATGTAGAGTGGAATATAGAGTAGAGTAGAGTAGAGTGTAGAGTGGAATATAGAATAGAATAGAATAGAATAGAATAGAATAGAATAGAATAGAATAGAATAGAATAGAATAGAATAGAATAGAATAGAATAGAATAGAATAGATATTGGAATACAGGATAGAGTAGAGTAGAGTAGAGTAGAGTAGAGTAGAGTAGAGTAGAGTAGAGTAGAGTAGAGTGGAGTGGAGTGGAGTGGAGTGGAGTGGAGTGGAGTGGAGTGGAGTGGAGTGGAGTAGAGTAGAGTAGAGTGTAGAGTGGAATATAGAATAGAATAGAATAGAATAGAATAGAGTAGAGTAGAGTAGAGTAGAGTAGAGTAGAGTAGAGTAGAGTAGAGTAGAGTAGAGTAGAGTAGAGTAGAATGTAGAGTGGAATATAGAGTAGAGTGTAAGTGGAATATAGAATAGAATAGAATAGAATAGAATAGAATAGAATAGAAACAGAGTTGGAAGGGACCATGAAGGTCTTCTAGTCCAACCCCCTGGTCAAAGAGGAACCCCTATAACACATCAGACAAATGGCTGTCCAGCTTCTTCTTAAAAGCACCCACAACTTCTGAAAGCAAGCCATTCCATTGGTTGATTGTTTTCACTCTTAGGAAGCTTCTCCTTAACCGTTACACCTTGACCCATCCCCTCACAACGGTTCTCGGGGTTAAAAGATTCCCACTCCCAAAGACAGACCTTTGCACAGTGTACTTTTGAAAAAGGGAAAGGGAGTCTGTGGGGAATCTCCGGGCGCATAAACCACACACCGATGTCAGAGCCAATTTTATTGAAGACGAAGTGCTCTTCTTCTGGCGTTCCTCCAGCTGCGGAATAGCATCACAGTCCTGCCAGTCTGAAAGCGATCACTTGGAACCAGTCAAGCGGAGCAGATCAAAGACTGTGGCTTGCAGCCATGCTGCCCTTTTTCAAAAGCTCTTCCTAAAAATAGCCAGCTTTCCATCTGGGTCATGAGGGGAACTGCTGAGGCATCCGTCCACTGAAACCAAGAGAAAGAAAAACCCCTGTAAATATTATCACCACGATGTAATACATAACAGGAACGCTTGGAGAAACAGTGGCTGTATAATTGAAGTGGAAAGGCCACGGCGAGCCTCCAGGACTAGACCTTTGGGCCAGTTCCATTTTGGGTCCAACTGGACAACGTCCAGAATCCTGAGTTCCTTTTAAAGAAATGTGTTCTTTTCATGTTGCCACAAACTGTTTAAAAAGGATGTGTTTTTTTCATTGACGTCCTAGCTTGGAGTTCTCCAGAAAGAGGGTGGATGTAGAAACATATAGTTTGCCCTTCTTAATCTATAAACTAATAAGTGAGCATTAAATCTGTCTTTGTTGCAATTTCATTCATAATTTGCAAGCTCAAAATTTATATCTGTCTGTCTGTCTGTCTATCTAGCTAGCTAGCTAGCTATCTAATGTCTGTTTATCATCTATCTATCTATCTATCTATCTATCTATCTATCTATCTATCATCTATCAGCTATCTATCTATCTATCTATCTAATCTCTGTTTATCATCTATCTATCTATCTATCTATCTATCTATCTATCTATCTATCATCTATCTAATCTCTGTTTATCTATCTATCTATCTATCTATCTATCTATCTATCTATCATCTATCAGCTATCTATCTATCTATCTAATCTCTGTTTATCATCTATCTATCTATCATCTATCTAATCTCTGTTTATCTGTCTGTCTGTCTATCTATCTATCTATCTATCTATCTATCTATCTATCTATCTATCTATCTATCTCTAACATCTCTGTATATGTATCATAGATAACAAAAGCCTTGGGTGCAATCCCAAAACATCTGGAGCACCACTTGTGCACCATCAGCATTGACAAAATCACCATGAGTCCATTGCAGGAAGCAGCTTTACTTGAAACTATTACATCCTCCAATGATTTCTTGAATCCCATCAAACTATCTCAGGTCCTTGGGAAGGATTCAATAGGTGGATAAAAGTGCCCAATTCAGTCTAAACATCTGGCTCACTGTGTGATCAACCACAATAATAATACAAACTGTCCAAGTACTAAAATTATATGATCCCTCTGGAATCCCTCCTGAGGATCTACTTTTATAACCTCCGCCATGCAATTTAACTCCTACTCCATAATTTGCTGGCACGATCTTCTGATTTCTGCTCAGTAGCTCGTTCGATAGCAATGGCAACAGCACTTAGACTTATATACCACTTCACAGTGCTTTACAGCCCTCTCTAAGTGGTTGACAGAGTCAGCCTTTTGCCCCCCAACAATCTGGGTCATTTTACTGACCTTGGAAGGATGGAAGGCAGAGGCAATAGCAATAGCATTTAGACTTATAGATTGCATCACAATGCTTTGTAGACCTCTCTAAGCAGTTTACAGAGTCAGCCTATTGCTTTCAACAATTTGGGTCCTCATTCTACCGACCTCGGAAGGACAGAAGGCTGAGTCAATAGCACTTGCAATAGCCCTTAGACTTAGATACTGCTTCTCTAAGTGGTTTACAGAGTCAGCGTATTCCCCCCAACAATCTGGATTCTCATTTTACCAATCTTGCGAGGATAGAAGGCTGAGTTGTCTCACATGTATCCGAATTTACAGCCCAAATGTTGGAGATGTGGAAGTTTAGATGCAACCTATTTTCACACTTGGTGGACTTGTAGAGACATAAAAGCTTTTGGGATTAAGATTTGGTGGAATATTCAAAAGATTTTTAAGAGAAAGATAAAGTTTACTCCGCAGTTATTTTTGTTGGGTATTATTGTAGATTTTGGCCACCTAATGAGAAGGAAGGTCTCACTGGAGAAGGACCTAATGCTGGGAAAGATTGAGGGCAATAGAAGAAGGGGATGACAGAGAATGAGGTGGCTTGATGGAGTCACTGAAGCAGTAGGTGTGAACTTAAATGGACTCCAGAAGATGGTAGAGGAGAGGAAGACCTGGAGGAACATTGTCCATGGGGTCACGATGGGTCGGACATGACTTCGCAATTAACAACAACAAATTGTAGATTTTGATGTTAAGGAAATCAATCTGATGTTGAATCTTATAACAGCTGTAAGATTATTGGTGGGACAATATTGGAAGAAAAACTCATTGCCTACTATGGAAGAATGGATACTTAAGGTGTCTAATTTAGCAGAAATGGCAAAAATCTCCGCCTATTTGAAGGATCATTCACAAGAAAGATATATTATGGTTTGGAGAAGATGGATTGATTACATTCAAAAGAAATATGAAACTGAAAAGTATTATCTTGCATATGAGTAGATTTTAGATAATTATTAATAGTTTTAATTATATTATTATTTTTGTTTTTAATTTGTTAATATTTGTTTTGAAAAGGAGTTAAAGTGTGTTATGGTTTTGATTGATAGTATAATTGGTTAATGTTAGTTAGATTATGTTTGTTTATTTGTTACCCTGTAATCAGCTCTGGGAAGTGGGGGAGGGGGGAGGGGGTGGGAGGGGTTTATATTGTATTAAATTTGTAAAACTTTTAATAAAAAAAAAGGAGGCTGAGTCAACTTTTAACTGGTAGGATCGAAGCCCTGGCAGTCAGCAGAGTCAGCCTGCAATACTGCATTCTAACCACTGTGCCATTCTTTCAATGTGTTCCTAATATGAGAGATTCTGTGCTCCCCCCCCATTTATCCCAGTATCCATTCCTTAAAGACCTGCCAGAGGTGGAAATAATTGCATTTTTCCAACCATGGTTGGCAGCCCGTCCTTTATTTAGGGAATGCAAGGCAAATGCTTATTTCCACGTATACTCTCTCTGCTGCCATTCTGCATCCATTGCAAAAGATGTTAGTTCTCCTCCAGGTTACTCAGGCTCAGCCGAGATGTGACATTTGCAGTTAGTTGCAGTTAGTGGGTCTAATGTTCAAAATTAAAACAGCAGGGGGGGGGAGGGAAACAGGATAAGGATCACAACTAAGGGGAAGAATGTACAACTGTTTTCCCAGCACTGCAGCGCTAATGAAAATTGCCTCTCCTAAGCCGGTGTTTCTTCCCTCAAAATTATCCTGGAATGGAATTGCCAACTTCATTAGTGCTCATTTACTTTCCTAGGAAGACTTACTAAACTGGGCAAATTATTGGTCCAAGCCAATCATCTGCAGCCATGGTTAACCAGGCATGCAATTCCTATTAGCCTTAATATTCAACTGGGTATTGCTCTTAAGCAAACTGAGTATTTCATTTAACCATCTTAGTCAGTACCTGATCATCAGTATTCACGTATCATTGAAGTCCGTTGACTTGGGACCTATTTGCCCTGATGGTTAGAAAAATGAACAGATCAGAGCTGGAAGGGACCTTGGAGGTCTTCTAGTCCAGCCCCCTGCTCAAGCAGGAGACCCCCATACCATTTCACACAAGTGACTGTCCAGGCTCTTCTTAAAAACCTCCAGTGGTAGAGCACCCACAACTTCTGAAGGCTGGTTAATTGTCCTCACTGTTGGGAAGTTTCTCCTTAATTCCAGATTGCTTCTCTCCTTGATCGGTTTCCATCCATTGCTTCTTGCCCTGCCTTCAGGTGCTTTGGAAAATAGGTAGACCCCCCACCTCTTCTTTGTAGATCAAATAGTTATTGAAACATTATAAAAAAAAATATTGAGACTATGGAAAGAGTGCAGAGAAGAGCAACGAAGATGAGGAGGAGGCGGAGGCTAAAACATATGAAGAAGGGCTGCAGGATTTGGTTTAACAAAGAGAAGGAGTAGGGGTCACATGATAGCAGTCTTCCAATATCTCAGGGGTTGACACAAAGAACCCAGTTTTGGTCACCATGATGTAAAAAAGAGGTTGAGACTCTAGAAAAAATACAGAGAAGAACAACAAAGATGATTAGGGGACTAGAGGCTAAAACATATAAGGAATGGTTGCTGGAATTGGGTATGTCTAGTTTAATGAAGAGAAGGACCAGGGGTGACATGATAGCAGTGTTCCAATATCTCAGGGGCTGCCACAAAGAATAGGGGGTCAAGCTATTCTCCAAAGCGCCTGTAGGCAGGACAAGAAGCAACAGATGGAAACTAATGAAGGAGAGAAGCAACCTAGAACTAAGGAGAAACTTCCTGACAGTTAGAAAAATTGTCCAGTGGAATAAACCTGCCTCCAGAAGCGACAAATGCTCCAACACTGGAAGTTTTTAAGAAGAGACTGGACAGCCATTTGTCCGAAATGGTATAGGGTTTCCTGCCTGAGCAGGGGGTTGGACTAGATGACCTCCAAGGTCCCTTCCAACTTTATCATTATTATTATTATAGAAGGCAAGCTATTCTCCAAGGCCATGTAAGACAAATCACAGGAACAATTTCTGATTAGATGGGTCTGGCAATGCAGTGTTCCAATATCTCAGGGGCTGCCCCAAAGAAGAGGGAGTCAAGCTATTTTCCAAAGCACCTGGAGGCAGGAGAAGAAGCAACGGATGGAAACTAATCAAGGAGGGAATCAACCTAGATATAAGGAGAAATTTCCTGACAGTGAGAACAATTAATGGAGCAACTTGCTTGAGAGGTCATAGCTGCTTCACCCCTGGGGGCTTTCAAGAAGAGACTACACAACCATTTGTTGTGGGTCTCCTGCTGCACTAGAAGACCTCCAGCTGGATAACTCTGTTATCCAGTTAATCTAGGAATTATGAAATGAAGATTGTGGAAAGATAAACCATGGAACAAATCAAGCAGTCAAATAGACCTGAACTCTGCTGAAGTTTTATCCAAAATGCTTATTTCTATGTTTCCCCATAAGCACCAGTTTAGATTCTTAGGGCAATACCTCCTCTTTTATAGCTTACTGAAGCATGAAGCCATTACAGCTAGCACGGTCTTGCTAATGATCTCATTGGTCTTCACTTCATCCTTAACTATTCTGAGATGTCACCATGAATTGAGTTGATATAATTGTTTATCTGCTTAATTGCTTTCCCTAACGATTAACCTCTATTACCAAAGCATTGAAAAAGGAGTAAAG